ACTCCAACACCTTTCAGAGTTGCAGCAAAGAAAATTATTTAGACTTGTTCATCATGTCAACACATACACTGATAGTATAGATTAGCAGAGTCCCTCAGGGACTAGACACAATCAAAGATAGGCTTGGAATTGTATGTCTGACCAATTTTCTTGAAGAAGTAATTAGAGTCACAGAACCCATTCTAGAATTACTGCAAAAACATTATGTCAAAAAAAAAAGTACAGAGCTGATACAAGCTTTACCTATAAGCAGTGGTGGGATTCAAATAATTTAACAACTGGTTCTCAGAACAGAACCCTTTAAGAGCTTTCCTGCTCATCATTAGTTGTGCTCTGTATAGCTAGACAGGAAAAAGTTCCAGCTAATACTTGGTGGCTTCGCCCCCTTTCCCGTAAGCACCAATCACGAAACCAGAGAGATGAAGTGTCTATTCCTGAAATTACCTTGAGAAGCACCACCTAGTTTTCGCCTGAGTGATGTGATCAAAGGAGCCGCGTCTCTGTTTGGTTTCCGTCGCTCCTCTCTTAGACTTTTGGGGAGGGTTTTTTTCCCCGCCTGGAAGGAAGTTGAACGAAAACCAGACGTGTTCCAGAAAACACAGATTTATCATAACCAGTTCGCCGAACTCAACAAAAAATTAGGTATTGGTTCTGCAGAACTGGTGCAAACTGACTGATTCCCACCAGTGCCTATAAGGCTACCGTAGGCTTCAAATAGAGGCATATTTTAATGGAAAGCATATGTAGCTTGTATTCTAAAGAGGATGATATATAATGATTGCTCTTATCCCAGGTTTGAGGAATTGTATACATTTCAGTGAGCACAAAGAAGCATGCATATTTCTAGTGAAAATATGCATCTGATAAATTGAATAAAAAGGTAAAAAAGGAGAACTGTCCATAAACATGTGGATTTTTGTATGAAACTTCATAAGGAGTTTTAAAAATATTTGCCAAGTAAAGTAGCAAGACGCAGAATGTAACTTAGTAATGAAAATGGACAATATGTTATTTCTTTCATCTTTAATATGGAATATTCTTCTGAAGAAGAAGATCTGGAATACCTCAAGATTCAGCCAGAAGGAATCCCAAGCCCTCAAAAAGTACATCATCTGATCTATCTCTCTGAGAGATGTGCTTCTGAGCCCTTGGTACCAAGATCCCTAATTATGTTTTCCCATCATTATGAAATAGATGTAAAATAATTGCCCAGGCATTAGAAGATGCATGTTCAGTCAGCAACCAGGCAAAGGAGTGGACCAAAAAGACAGTAAATACTGTATAATGTTTACATCTTTTTCAAAGGTCACAATTCATGAGTTATGCCTGGCTTACTATTTTATTGTAATCAAAAACCTGCAGCCAAATCTCTTTATGCTTTCTTCAAACTAATATGGGAACATCTCCATGTTATTAAAAAAAGAACTACAAATTAAAAATGAGATCTGCATTCCAATTCCACTTTCATTCTGGAACTACCTTCTTTTAGTCTCACCCTCTTTCCAGTTCTTCAGCAACCACGTATGGGTTTTTAGAAATTACTTCCTTAAAGTTCAGTTCTGCATGTTGAGAAGCTGTTCAGTGGATACCAGAAACCAAATAAACTAAATCTGTTCTAGAGGTATTGGCTCCTTTTGGATTTGATTAGCTCTTCTCCTTTCTGATTACCACTTTGTTTGTTATTTGCTGTTAAACTATAAAGGACAGGCACTTTGTCCTGGTTACATCTTACTAATTTTCAGAACTCTTGTTTGCCTCTCTGTATGCCTCCCCACACTGTAAGGTTTTCAACAGAGACTTCTTTTTGAATGTCTGGTAACGCCCTACTTAACAGTGGTATCACAAAGAATGTTTTCAGTTAGATATAGCACTCTTCTAAGACCTACTGTATGTGCTTTCTATTTCTTTAACTCATAGTCTCCCTCTTTGTAGCCTGATTTTCAAACAACTACACCAAACTGGCTTTTGTTACTAAAGGTCATCTAAAGTTACTAAAGGACTGTCATCTAACATGCTGGTCCAATATTGGGTTAGGGTTAGGGTTAGGGTTAGGGTTAGGGTTAGGGTTAGGGTTAGGGTTAGGGTTAGACAGATGTTTTTCAACTTTCCATCTAGCATTAAAAGAGAAGGCCTGGCCCACAATCAACCAATTGGTTAAATGGATAACTAAAACTTGAATTTTCCCACTCCAAGTTCAGCACCTTAGCACCATGCACAGGCAGCCCTTCTTCCTCCTCTACTGGTGCCAGGCCCTACAAGGTTCTTTTCTTCTGCTGCTGGCATGTTCCTCCTCACAATATATGCCACTTTTTCCATCAAATAGTTTGAGACAGAAAAAAAACAAAATCCCATAGAAGAACAAAAACTTCTTTGTTGCTATTTCTCAGGACAAGTTGAAAAGATTATAATGATAAATAGAGTGAGTATTTTGTAAAGTAAACTTAAATTTATTTTATCTCACTCATTCTTGAGGGCTTTCTTTTAGAGATATAGAATGCACCATATTGAGTTCTGTGGCTAATGTACTGTATTTCTGAAATAGAAAGAATTTNTGCTGTGGGAAAACTGGAGGACGAAGGTGTACTAAGTATGTTGGCCATTTTGAGTTATTTATAAAAATAATAAATAATAAAGGCAGGATAAAAATCTCATAGATAAGTATATTATAATGTACATTATAATAAGAATATCTAAGGATGTGTACCTCTGTTTATGTGCCCTGACAGATACACGCGTGTACATGCACACATATCATAATATACCTAAATGCAGAATTTTTTTTAAAAAAAAATATTTATTTTAAAATAAATTTTCCCTATGCATATAAATTTCAGCTATTACTATTCTGAAATACATTTATATTTTTCCCAGTTTGTATCCTTTAATTATTATTTCCAAAGGTACTTTTCAAAAGGCAACTAGACTTTCTTGGTATTTTCCTTGAAAATGTTTCATTTCTCATCCAAGAAGCTTCTTCAGTTCTGTTCGTTTCCAAAGCTATTGATGTAGAAAACTTTTTTTGATGTTGAGATGTATAGTATTCTAAAGATCTTATTTTATATCCCACCTTTATATTTTATAAAAAGATAAAGGTGGGATATAAATAAATAAATAAATAAATAAATAAATAAATATTATGCTGTTCTAATTTCCAATCCCACACACACACATTTTTAACTATAAAGGTTATCATTTAGAATTATTTAAACCTTTTATGATTTAAATAAGAAGGGAGACAGGATGGCATTTTTCAAAGTTAGAATTAATTTCTGAACGTAGCTTGCAGTTATTACTGTCTAAAAGCCATATTAGAATATGTATGTAGGCATTTGGGTGCTAAATGCTAAAGGAGGTTATTCTTGCTTGTAGCTTTCAAAAGAAAAAAGAAAAAGAAGAAGACATACTGTTTTTAATGTTTGACCTTTGAAAAGAAATCATTTGTACTATTTTTTCTGCAGAATATGTGGACAAAATTATAATTTATATTTTAATGCAGCCTCTCACGCTCTGCGCCCCTTCAGATATGCTATGATTCAGCTTATCTCAAAGCCAGCCAACATTTCAAATCAAACACAGTTTATATAATCTTAAATATTCTATTAATTCTCTTTGGTATACACTATAGTTTAAAATTAAGAATCCAAGATAATATATTTGACAGGAGGCTATATCCATGAGTTGGATCCACACCATTAAACTTTAATGAGAAGATGTATTCAAAAGTATATTTAACATGTGAATCTAAGGAATAATTGGATGGAGAACTGAAAAAAGAGACCTCAAATGATAGGAAGATCTAACAAGATTTGAAAGCCTCTAAAGAAGTAATTGATTGTCCCCGTCAAAATAATAAGCTTAAGACAATTCCATTCTTTCCAATAAAAAGTATCTATTTGAACGACAGAACCACTTCTTTTGTTGTTGTTGCATTAAATAGCAATAGTTCTAAGAATCCTTCTTTTATTACCAGTGTTTTTTATCAGATGCCTTGTTATTGAGTGTTTTTCTAAAGCAAATGTAAATCTGACAAAACACAAAAAAGCTGAAGACAATTACCTAATTTTCAAGGGGACTAAATTTTGTTTCCAGGAAACCAGATTCAGTTGGTACCACCTACTGAGAGAATACGTTTTAAAAGCTGTGAAGTGATGCCTGACTTACTCAATTATAAAAAATTGCTTGTAATGGTATCTGTTTTGACTCACATTGAATTACCCTGCTGTTTCACTATACATTGATATTTCTGCCTAATCTAAGATTTCATAGATGATATTTTAAATGGAAGAAGCAGGACACTTCTCCGAACATGCACACATTATAGTCTATATGGAATCCTCTTAGAAACAAAAGTAAGCATAATATTAGATCAGCACTACAAAGTTTTTCTCTGTAACTTATAGTAATAAATACAATCCACAGCAATAACAAAATTGTAAAATATTGTGCTAATTAGCAAAGAAACCAAGAAAACTGAAGGGCCTTAATAGAAAGGCTTTGAATTATCAAACTTAACATTAGATTGGGAAAGGACTTTTAGAATTAGGATATTACCATGGAAATGTTTTTGTCCACCATCAATAACATAAGAGAATCAGTCCCAGACAAACCTTTAAGCATACTGACATTTCAGTATGTCAATAAATTTGTATGGAAGAAAGTTCCAATTAACTTTTAAATGAAAACTACACATATTGTTGACTGCATGATAATATTATAGATTGTGGAAGAACAAACAACAAATGCCCAGTTCCATAAAATTCTCCAACAAATAAAAAATAAAGTTAACTAGCACAATCTTAATTTTCTATACACATAACATTTGAAATAAAGAGCTCTGTAGCTAAAAGGACAAATGATGGTACCAAGATGAGAAACACCTGCTTCATCCCATCCACCATAACACAATGTTACATAAAAAATATCAGATGTAAATAATACTTTTTATTCCATGAAAGCTTGCACAAATTTCGGAATCAAAGATGAATTCTAAAGTAACTTACATGATCAATTAGTTCTCGAACCATGCCATTCCATTGTCCACTACCATCATCCCGGGCTCCATATTTTCCATCTTCGACCAATCTAATTTCATAAGTAAATCCAAGAAAAGTTGATAGTTCCCTAAGGAGATCGATACAATATCCCTCAAATCTATCATTCCCGTATAAAGGTTTATCAGATTTCTTGAACATCACATATGGCTCTTCCTGAAAAAGAATATAAATAGAGAAGAAATAAAATTCAATTATTATTTTTAATAGACAAATACTTTTTATAACATCATGAAAATTCAAAAGATTTTCCCTAATACAACAGTATGTACAAAAGCCTTGTTTTGAAATCAGTAAAGGCACTCTGTCCTTTGCAAAGCTCATTCAGCTGCTTTACATATTTCCTATGTACAGAGAAGTTATGCTGAATACTATCTTTATTGAGAGGGAACTTACTTTTGATTTATTCAGTTATTACTAAGGACTTATAGCTTTTCTAGTTGAATCTGAATCCAGTTTGGCAACTATGATTACATAATTAAAAATAGCAGTTAAACATTATAATTGCTTAGAAATAAAAACTGTACAATATTTACATGTTTCAAAATGTAGAGTAATAATGAGAAACAAACATAATCCAGTGGTTTTATGGGTGAATCTTTCATCATGTACATGAATAAGAAGAAGACAATGAGCAGAATTCTCAAATTTCACCACAACTAACCTATTTTCAGTTATAACTCAGTGATATTGTGTACACTATCCAGAGAAGATACTCTGGCTTCAGATCCAACTAGAGTTTTGAAAGACCCATTAGAAATCCTGAAGAGATACTGACACGGCATGTACAGATATAGTATGATACACTATAAACAGCTTCCCTTTCCCCTATCATATCAAAATTAAGAATCAGGCTAAATACTGTATGGTGGCTGGGTGAAATTGAAAATCACATGGAGCTAATATCTCTGACAATATCCAGTTGTGATCGCTTTCTAAAACAATTGCAAAGAATCCCAACAAATGACAGAACATTGCTGATTATTGGATAGGAACTATAATATAAAATGAATGCAAAACATTTACCAGTTCCAGTGTTTACTCATATTCCAGAACCTGATTCTTGAAAATAAACAAATGGAAATAATGGAGAATATTTCTCATTCCAATAAAAATAATCAGAAACTATCTTCCATAGAATTATGCTAAATAACTACGGACAAGAGTGGACCAATACATGTATATTTATTCCCATTATGGGAACACAGTTGGTCAAAACATACCAACATGAAATACCAACTGATTTCTATCTAGATTTGACTGGAAGGAATAAAAATAGGTCAACAAACTGACTCTTATTCTGCAAAGAAGATTACTATGATAGGCAAGCCACTGCATCAGTTAAGGCAGTGGTCCCCAATCTTTGCAGCTTGGCAACCCGGCTGGAGGGGGAGATTGGAACCAGGCTGCATTAGTGGTGGGCTGGCACGCACGTATGAACAGCTCAACAAGCATGAGTGGTGGACTGGCATGCTCATACATGCACACACAGCTCAACCTGCACAAGTTGAGCTGCACATGCACACCAGCCCACCACTCATGCGAGTCGACCTACATGCACTCATCCATGCCAGCCTGCTGCTCACACCGCCCAGTTGCAAATAAGCCATAGCCTGCTAGTGGACTGTGGCCAGAAGTTGGGGAATTAAGCAATACCCATGTATTTATTTTATGGCATCCAAGGTTTGCCCTCCTTTATAAGTTTCTAATCAGCAAATAATATAAAACAATTACACTCTAAGCTTTAGAAATTTGCAAAGTGGAGATGTGGGAAGAACAACATTGTCTTATCTCTTCTCATGGCTTCTCTTGCTAGTGTTTCAGATTGCTCATGAGCTTTAAATCCCATTGATTTCTAATACTCTAATAATATAAGCTATATTTCCAACAAGAATATATTGGGAGAAAATCATTTCAATAAAAAGAATTCAAGATTCTTAAAAAGTTGCATGTGGCCTAATGCAAGATCATTTACCTGTGTCAGGACAAAAATTATGTTTCTGAAATGTGATAATAGGCTAGGAAAGTTTCATACTCCAACACCTTTCAGAGTTGCAGCAAAGAAAATTATTTAGACTTGTTCATCATGTCAACACATACTGATAGTATAGATTAGCAGAGCCCTTCAGGGACTAGACACAATCAAAGATAGGCTTGGAATTGTATGTCTGACCAATTTTTTTGAAGAAGTAATTAGAGTTGCAGAACCCATTCTAGAATTACTGCAAAAACATTCTGTCAAAAAAAAAAAAAAGTACAGAGCTGATACAAGCTTTACCTATAAGCAGTGGTGGGATTCAAATAATTTAACAACTGGTTCTCAGAACAGAACCCTTTAAGAGCTTTCCCGCTCATCATTAGTTGTGCTCTGTATAGCTAGACAGGAAAAAGGAGAACTGTCCATAAACATGTGGATTTTTGTATGAAACTTCATAAGGAGTTTTAAAAATATTTGCCAAGTAAAGTAGCAAGACGCAGAATGTAACTTAGTAATGAAAATGGACAATATGTTATTTCTTTCATCTTTAATATGGAATATTAAAAATATTATTAGATCCGTGTCCCTCCTGGCTGGTACTGGCAGCCCGGGAGGGGACACGAGCCTGGTTCCAGGGAATTGTTAACGCTTCTTTGCAGGAGGGTGTCTTCCCGGCGGCCCTAAAAGAGGCCGTGGTGAGGCCCCTCCTCAAGAAGCCTTCCCTGGACCCAGATGAGTTGGCCAACTATCGCCCGGTCTCCAACCTTCGCTTCGCGGCGAAGGTTGTTGAGAGTGTGGTTGCGCGGCAGTTCCCTCGCCACCTGGATGAAACAGATTATCTAGACCCATACCAGTCGGGCTTCAGGCCGGGACACAGCACGGAAACGGCATTGGTCACGTTGGTAAATGATCTCTGGAGGGCCCGGGACAGGGGTTATTCCTCTGTCCTTGTGCTTTTGGACCTCTCAGCGG